TCTAATTTATTTGGAATGATATGAAATTAGATACAAAGTAAGATCCGGAATAAATATGATTTTTAATAAGAAATACTAGCAAATAATGTTACTACTATTATTTATCAATAAATAAAAATTTACATATGGCAGAGTATAGAAATTAATATAATTATCTTATCTAATCAAATTCTATCAAAAGAAAGATCGATTAGGAATTAAGAATTATGTATTTTGTAATTGTCCCATAGGGTGTTACTATTTATCCATAGGATGGAGCAAATAATGACAAATGTAGGTTTCAGTTTTTATGAAAATCTAGCCCGTATACATGACTTATGGAAACTAATTAAGTTTTTTGTATATTTGAAAGTGGAAAGTACTCTTTTAGTGAAAAATCATATCTTGTAAACTTGAAATTAGCTTGTAGGAGAGAGAAGAAAAAATCTACTATTTACCCCCTCCCCTTCCTTTACTTTCATTTATTTTATGATGTATTTCAAATTTCTATGTATGGTGTGTAATAACCGCTTAACTAAATATTACCAATTATTTACAGACAACCATTTAATGCAACGCGTATTAATGCTAGTAGTATCGAAAGTAGAGTTAGACAATTACACAAAGAAAATGGTTGCTCCAATGGTTGGCTGTGTTGGAATGGAACTAGTGGAATCAGTGAGGATGGAGCAGGTCGTAGCAAAGGAAAAGCTGGTTTTTGGGAAGAATTTGAATCATTGCAGCAACAAGAATGCCGACATATGTTTTCAAGAAAAGAAGGTTTACGTCCAGAAAATCGTGTCAAGAACCGTTACAAAAACATTTTACCATTTGATCATACTAGAGTGCAATTAAAAAACGTGGATTCTGATATTTCCGGAGCTGATTACATTAATGCTAATTACATAAGGGTAAAATATCTTTTTGCTGATAACTTTTCGATTTATTTAGTGTTTTAGAAATTTAAAATGTCATTAAAAATTTTGCTTAGCCAAGATATTGAGCAAATTCATAAGCAATTTATTTATTGTAATTTTTCAATTTTTGACATAGAATACGTATCAAGTGATAAAAATAACAATTAAAAATCAAAGTTTTAGCTGAATGTGATTTTATTATTTCTTTTTTTTTTTAAGTTTAGTTTATCAATTAACTTAATAATTGTACATTCCCTCTCGGTACAAAAAAACGGTGCACTAAAAATTTAGGTAAAATTTACCAAACTTGAAATCATAACTTGATAAATAATGAAGATAAAAATGTGAATAAAATTGCAAAATGAAGCTTGAAAT